AAATCATCCAGCACATGTATCCAACAGCAATGTTCGCAGACTCACGAACAAGCGACGGACCGAGTGGCGCGATACGTGCCGGATTGAATTTCTTTTTAGCCAATTCCCCCCCCCCAACGCTGCACCATTGCACCAACCCCCCACTAGTGATGACGTACCTTACAATGTATCGCTGGTTGGTGGCCATGTTTGCGTGTTTGCTTGCCGTTAGTGGTCTCTCCACCGTGTGCCTTTTTCTGTCTCTTATTTCTTGTTATTTTCGGCCTGGTCCCTTTTTGTCCTCGCTCTTTTNCTGTCTCTTATTTCTTGTTATTTTCGGCCTGGTCCCTTTTTGTCCTCGCTCTTTTTACTTCATTTTCTCTTTTCTTACTGTTTCCTTTCATTTTCTTCTTCTCTTTTTCTCGGTTTCTCTTTTTTTTTCTCTTTTTCTCTTTTTCTCTCTTTTTCTGTGCCAGATGGCCTTGTCTCTGCTTGCGTTGTGAAGTATCAAGATTGAACCAAGGGGTTGTACCTCATTCTCTCCGGCCCGTGATGGTGACTCCTAGTCTCAGTTGTTCCCTCGCATAGCGCGCAGAGGGAGTGGCGGACTCCAGAATATCTGTCGTTGATTTCTATTGACTTGCGGACCCCTCGGGGCCATTTTATTTGAGTGTACCTTTTTAGGGTAAGTTAGCATGCGACCAAGGGAATCGACCGCGTCGAGTGTTATATCAGTACGGAGATACGAAGGTACTGGGTAGAGAGAGATCGGAACGGTTTTTAATGTGAAGACAGCAACAACAACAACAACAAGTATTATGCGCATGGGTGGCGGTGCTGGCCACAAGAAGTTTTTTTATTTTTGTCTCCCATCATTGGAGTTTGTCGTCTGCCCCTCTGGCCCCTATCCTCCACNTGTTATATCAGTACGGAGATACGAAGGTACTGGGTAGAGAGAGATCGGAACGGTTTTTAATGTGAAGACAGCAACAACAACAACAACAAGTATTATGCGCATGGGTGGCGGTGCTGGCCACAAGAAGTTTTTTTATTTTTGTCTCCCATCATTGGAGTTTGTCGTCTGCCCCTCTGGCCCCTATCCTCCACTTCTACCAGTTAGACGACCCAACCGGGATCACATAGGAGGGGGAGGTTGGGCCCCTTCCTGTGGTTCCTGCCTGAGACATTTTTATCGCGAGAAGGGTACAGCAATCCCTTCCCTCGCGACTTGTGAAGTCGATCGAGTTTACTAACAACGAGCTCGTTTGTTTCTGAATTTTCTACAAAATATTCCTCTGGTGCTCGAGAAAAATCCACGGACCAGCGAATATCCGTTGGAAATCCAGCAAATTTGTTCATCATGGGACTGCGGTCAAGGACAACCACCCGACAGCTCCAATCCCGGTACATTTTTTTTTTTTTTCCCATCATTGGACTCTCTCTGTCGTCTGCCCCTCTGGCCCCTATCCTCCACTTCTACCAGCTAGACGACCCACCCGGCGGGGTCACATAGGAGGGGGGGTTGGACCCCCTCCTGCGGTTCCTGCCTGAGATATTTTTATCGCGAGAAGGGTACAGCAATCCCTCCTGTGTGTGATGATGTAACTGGTTTTGTAGAGAGACGCCGCAGAAGTGGCGCGGATAACGCGGGTGCCTTAATTGTGTACTTGCATCGTGAAAGACCCCTTCAATGTGGAACAATTCCTAGTCAGTGTCGATGTTTACACTGCTGTGCCTAACACAGATGATCTGGATAGATTCGGGTGATTGTCAATTGCAATGATGGCTTTGGTTGGGTGTTCTTCTTCGTTGTATGTCCACGGACTCATTCTGACAGCACTTCAGACAGCAGCTGCACGTGCCCCGAGCTTGTCTACCATGCACCATGGTGTTATTATTGTACCGACAGCACTTCAGACAGCAGTACGCTGTAGTCGACATTTATTTTGGTTAAATGCGGGACAAGGGGGGTGATGCTGCTGCTGTAGTCGAATTGTTTTGTTTTTTTCTCCTATCGTTGGACTCTCTCTGTCGTCTGCCCCTCTGGCCCCTATCCTCCACTTCTACCAGCTAGACGACCCAACCGGGGTCACATAGGAGGGGGGGGTTGGACCTCCTCCTGCGGTTCCTGCCTGAGATATTTTTATCGCGAGAAGGGTAGACTATAGCAATCCCTTCCCTCGCGACTTATGAAGTCGATCAAGTGTACTAACAACGAGCTTTGCAGCGCGTCGCTTCCAACGGAGACCAGGATTTAATGAGCGAGCAAAACTCACTCACTCTGTCGGGACTCGAACTCATGACCTGTGGCCCTTAGCAGGTTGCGAGGCTACCCACTAGAACACCGGGGCGACCGGTGTGTGGGCGTGTAGTTCAGTTGTGAGCACGCAAACGTGCTGCAGGGATTGTAGGTGTACCTCCTCGGAGTGGTGTACCCTTTTCTTGCTAACAGCATGCGTGTTCTTTAGATCTTCTGATGGCTCCAGCATTTCTTGTGACCACGGACCGAGTCTTTGCTAGATTTTGGGATTATTAGCAACTGAAAAACAACAACAATCGTATAGACAGAACTGCAGTACGCTGTAGTCGACATTCATTTTGGGTAAATGCGAGACAAGGAGGGTGATCCTGCTGCTGTAGTCGAATTGTAGTGTGTGAGCGTGTAGTTCAGTTGTGAGCACGCAAACATGCTGCAGGGATTGTAGGTGTACCTCCTCGGAGTGGTGTACCCTTTTCTTGCTAACAGCATGCGTGTTCTTTAGATCTTCTGATGGCTCCAGCATTTCTTGTGACCACGGACCGAGTCTTTGCTAGATTTTGGGATTATTAGCAACTGAAAAACAACAACAATCGTATAGACAGAACTGCAGTACGCTGTAGTCGACATTCATTTTGGGTAAATGCGAGACAAGGAGGGTGATCCTGCTGCTGTAGTCGAATTGTAGTGTGTGAGCGTGTAGTTCAGTTGTGAGCACGCAAACATGCTGCAGGGATTGTAGGTGTACCTCCTCGGAGTGGTGTACCCTTTTCTTGCTAACAGCATGCGTGTTCTTTAGATCTTCTGATGGCTCCAGCATTTCTTGTGACCACGGACCGAGTCTTTGCTAGATTTTGGGATTATTAGCAACTGAAAAACAACAACAATCGTATAGACAGAACTGCAGTACGCTGTAGTCGACATTCATTTTGGGTAAATGCGAGACAAGGAGGGTGATCCTGCTGCTGTAGTCGAATTGTAGTGTGTGAGCGTGTAGTTCAGTTGTGAGCACGCAAACATGCTGCAGGGATTGTAGGTGTACCTCCTCGGACTGGTGTACCCTTTTCTTGCTAACAGCATGCGTGTTCTTTAGATCTTCTGATGGCTCCAGCATTTCTTGTGACCACGGACCGAGTCTTTGCTAGATTTTGGGATTATTAGCAACTGAAAAACAACAACAATCGTATAGACAGAACTGCAGTACGCTGTAGTCGACATTCATTTTGGGTAAATGCGAGACAAGGAGGGTGATCCTGCTGCTGTAGTCGAATTGTAGTGTGTGAGCGTGTAGTTCAGTTGTGAGCACGCAAACATGCTGCAGGGATTGTAGGTGTACCTCCTCGGAGTGGTGTACCCTTTTCTTGCTAACAGCATGCGTGTTCTTTAGATCTTCTGATGGCTCCAGCATTTCTTGTGACCACGGACCGAGTCTTTGCTAGATTTTGGGATTAGCAACTGACACGAGTTTCATATGAAGAAAAACAACAGCAAACAACATTTCTACAGGCAGCACTTCAGACAGCAGTACGCTGTAGTCGACATTTATTTTGGTTAAATGCGGGACAAGGGGGGTGATGCTGCTGATGTAGTCGGATTGTAGTGTGTGGGCGTGTAGTTCAGTTGTGAGCACGCAAACATGCTGCAGGGATTGTAGGTGTACCTCCTCGGAGTGGTGTACCCTTTTCTTGCTAACAGCATGCGTGTTCTTTAGATCTTCTGATGGCTCCAGCATTTCTTGTGACCACGGACCGAGTCTTTGCTAGATTTTGGGATTAGCAACTGACACGAGTTTCATATGAAGAAAAACAACAGCAAACAACATTTCTACAGGCAGCACTTCAGACAGCAGTACGCTGTAGTCGACATTTATTTTGGTTAAATGCGGGACAAGGGGGGTGATGCTGCTGATGTAGTCGGATTGTAGTGTGTGGGCGTGTAGTTCAGTTGTGAGCACGCAAACGTGCTGCAGGAATTGAAGGTGTACCTCCTCGGGCTTGCGTACCCTTTCCTTGCTAATAGTGTGTGTGTTCTTTAGATCTTCTGATGGCTCTAACATTGTTGTGACCACGGACCGAGTCTTCGCTAGATTTTGGGATTACCAACTGATACGAGTTTCACATGAAGAAAAACAACGACAACAACAACGCGCGAATGCAGTGCTTCTCTGCCCGTGGCGAGGGTGTACGCGATTGCTGGACAACGCGATCGCTAGACCACACGAATCGAATTTCAAATCGTTTTCCTTGCCAAAAAGTTAAGTTGCTATCATTTGATTCGAGCGAAGCGAGATTTCTCATCTTGCCTGAGGAGACAGCGCAACGTAGGCTCCATCCGGAAAACACCTGTCGCATGAAAAAAACTCGCTGCACGCATACAACACCAAGCCAGAACACACACACCACTTCGACAGGCAGCGTACTCATTAGTAGCTTTTCGAGAGGGGACCGGGGTAGTCCTCGCTGAAACAAAAGAACAACGCCCTCTCGAGGTCTTAGGCTACACGCGCCCACCGTCGACGAATACCTCCGATTCCATCGCGCATCTGGGGAGAGCTACTACAACGTATGGCCTCCCAAGATAGGCTTTCGTATTCAAGCAGGTAGAAATCGCAATTCCCTCTCGAACCGGCAGCCGTTGAACTGTTTTGAAGACAGATGGATCCAGAGTCTCACGCGAAACGTGGAAACAGACAGCACCTACCTGCGCGATCACTCAGTACCAATTAGTCAACTAAATGTCCAATCGCCCGAGATGTCCGCGCCGCACATCCCTCACACGCTTTGATGTATGTACCCGGGTAGCAAGCAAGGTCGTACTAGCTATTCCAGTAGCAATCAGATTAATAACTTCAAACGCATCACTTTGCCGCTCGTGATTCCTCCATACCACACCGTGTGACCACGGGAGTAGACCGCATCAAGTGCTACAGCAGTATGTAGATCGGTACGGACATATCAAGGTACTGGGTAGAGAGATCGGAACGGCCTCCGTTGTGAAACAACACAAGAACTTTCCTGGGGGGGGGGNGGGGGGGGGGCACACCGTGCGCGCTGCTATGCCGGGGAGGGGTGTCCCTAGGTTCTTCTTGAGGGTCATCCCCCCTCGCCCCTCCTCGGGTCCGCAAGCACTGGAAACGGGAGGCACAATCACACACGGCGACAATATATATGGCACACATCTGCCAAAAGACAAAGAACAATTTGCGTTCTCGCGAAGAAGTGCGTTCCTCAGCTAGTTAGCTGTCGTCACGACTGCCGTAAAAAGGGAAAAGAAACAGGCGCATTTTCCATCGTTGGAAAGAACAAACCAAAACGTCCACTGATACCCAGCGCATGAACACCAATTAAGTATCGAAATTGAAAAGACAAGGACGAAGCGGCAAGATTCCTACGGAACCTTTCTCGCCTTTTGACTTGCGACATATCCCTTCGACTGCTGTGGCATAGTCTCGAACAGGTAGTAGTCTTTCAGTGATTGATTTAGTACAATTTCTACAAAAAAGAAACGACTCGAGAAGTTCGTTTACTTGCCCACCCCCCNNNGCTCCCCACCCATCATGCTTACCCCTGTGTCCCGTGCTTCCTTCGTCGTTTTCCGTCTCTGCCTGCACCCTTCGTCAAACACTGTCCAATCGTACCGTGAATAATCCCTCCCGCTGCTGCTAGAATACTGCTGCTGCTGCCGCCGCTGGTACTGCCTCTACTGCGGCTGCTGCTGCGGCTGCTGCTGCTGCTGCTGCTGCTGCTGCTGCTGCTGCTGCTGCTGCTGCTTGTCTTCTGAGGGGACTGCTGCTGCTGTGGAGAGTCTTGGGTCGTGGTATCTTCGTGGGTGCTCGTCAGCCCATCTCCACGTCGCCATCGCCCCCGCCGCCGCCCGCGGAACCACCACCAGCATCGCCACCGTCTGCTGTTACTTCTGGCGTCGCCGGGGGGTCTCGCCTCGTGAACATGGAGAAGTACTTCTCTGCCGCGACCGCCGCCGCGGCGTTGTTGGCCGCCACCGCCGCAGCGACGGTGGCGTTGCTGACGGCGGCGGCAGCACCGGCGACAACGGCACTGGCGACACCGGCACCGCCACCAACGGCACCATCGCCGATATTGTGGCCGCCTTCCGGCTCCCCGGCAAGACCTGCACCGCCCGGGGCTGACACGAGATCCTCCTGTCCGCCTCCAGCATCGCCACTGCCGCCGCTCGCTGCGGCGCCGGAATCTCGTGGGGGCAGAGCGGTGACCGGTAGGATGTCTGACTCGGTCTCGTCGCCGCTCCCCTGTGCAACCACGGGCGTTCGGCGAGGGAGAAGAACGACGGCGGGGTGGATGAGTGGGTGGCGACGTCGGTGTCAAGCGGTGGCGATAGCGGCGACACAAAAGCATGGCGGGAGAGATCGGTCGGGGGGCGGGGGGGTTGTATCGCACATCGTTGGGGCGATATATCTCGGAGCGTTGCTCGCGGGATGAAAAGCATCAATGAGTGTTAGGCATGCCACGAGAGGTTGTTTATGCTCAGCGTCGAAATTGGAGCACGTTGGGCACACCAGCCTGCGCGCATGGGTGAACCAACACCTTTTGTCGATCCACCCACTAAGCCACTCTCTCCAAGCCCCCGTGATTTGGACACTTCACGACACAATCAAGACCGCCATTCAACGGCAACAATAACAATACCAAGGCACATGGCACCCCTCTGCGCCCAACCACCTTCACCTGCTACCCCCCAGCACCGCTCGTGACCGCGACAAGACCAGCACCAACAACAACAACAACTGCTGTTGTGCGATATCAAACGCCCTCTCGTCCCCCGAGCGCCGTGATCGCAGCGATACCAACACCACGGCACGAGCATCAGACGCCCTCGTTCAACCACACCTCGCTCTCCCCGTACGGCAGGACCACGCCGCCAGTCTCCAGCGACCCCAGCAGTCCGTACTGCCGCACCGCCCGCTTCGTCGCCATCTTGCACCCGGTGCACACAAAGTCGTGCTCCCCGAACCCGGCTCCCCCGCCCGGCAACCCCACGCCGCACGACCTCCTGTCCCCGCCCCCACCGCCACCGCTAACGCTGGCCACCGCCGGCGCCGGCGCCAGCGCCGGCGCCGCTGTAGTCGCCGTTTGGCCGCGCTTCGGCCGGCGCTGAGCGATAGTCACCTCCACCCGGGCCTCCCGTACGGACCACCTCCCGCCGCCACGCCCTCTACGTCCTCTGCCGGGGCGGCCGCGCTTGCCTCTCCCGCCCCTGCTCCCCGCCCCGCCGCCGCTGCTGCTGCTGTTGGCGCCGGCGACGGTGCCGGTGCCGCCGGCTTGGGTGCGTGATCTGGGGCCGAAGCCGCCGCCCCTTGTGCGGGGGAATGGCCGGCGCACCCGGTGCTTGAGGGACTCGTAGGTCTCGGCGATCATGCCGGAAGAGTCGGTGCGGAAGTGCTTGTCGCAGAGAGATACGGGGCAGAACCTTCATGAGCGAAAAACGGAGGGGGGGGGGGGGCGNGCATTGTTCCCCCAGGACCGATCACCGATGGCCAATCGGGGGGGGGTCAAAGGATCGCTTGCGGCAATCGCATACAGTAGGATGCCATCGTCTAAAATACGAGGGTACAAACAGGCGTCCAACACATGCTACCCGAATGCGGACCCCGCAAAAAAAAAGGGGGCGGGGGGAGACCACTGATGGACGTGAAACCGTCGGGAAAGCACAACGAACGTGGCAATACAGAAAAGAAAGAAAAAAGAACGACGACGACGACAACAACAACGACACACACACGGCACCCACGCCACGCCACACGGCTACGCATGCAGCAGTACGCAACACCATCACCACCAACACCAACACCATCACCACCAACACCATCACCAACACCATCACCAACACCAACGCCATCACCAACACCAACACCATCACCAACACCAACACCAACAACATCAACATCACCACCAACAACATCACCACCAACACCAACACCATCACCAACACCAACACCATCACCAACACCAACACCATCACCAACACCAACACCATCACCAACACCAACACCAACACCAACACCATCACCAACACCAACGCCATCACCAACACCAACGCCATCACCAACACCAACACCAACAACATCAACATCACCACCAACACCATCACCACCAACATCATCACCAACACCATCACCAACACCAACGCCATCACCAACACCAACACCATCACCAACACCAACACCAACAACATCACCATCAACACCAACACCATCACCACCAACACCAACACCAACACCATCACCAACACCAACACCATCACCAACACCAACACCATCACCAACACCAACACCACACACCTGCAGAAGTATCCCGCAGCCTCCCCGCACTCCACGCAAGCGTGCCTCGGGCAGCTGCTGAGCTCGTCGTCCCCGACGTTGAACCCCATGCAGTAAGCGTGGTAGACCTTCTTGCAGCGGGGGGGCTTGGCCGCGGCCTTGGAGGCTCCTCCCGTCGCCCCCTCCTCCGCCGCCTTACCCTTGGCGTCGCTGCTGTTGCTCGGCCCTTCCATGGAGACCCCGCAGCACGAGAAAGCGGTGCCGGGGGCGGGAAGCGGTTTTCCCAGAGACTCGAGCTTGAGCTTCACGCGGCGGGACCAGCTCGTGCCCTCGTCGCACTCCACGAGGTTGCCGCCCTCTTTGCAGAGGAAGCACACGTCCTCCGTCGTCGAGACTCTGGCGGGCGCGCACAAGTTGACGTAAGCACCACAACGAGGACAGAAAATACAAACAAGAACAAAAGGGCGTGATTTGTAAAGAGCAAAAAAAAAAACAGAAAAAACACAACATGAGGGAGAAAAAAATGAAGAAAAAAGTTCATATTGTGGCCGCCAACGCCCACGCCCACGCCGTCGCCCGCACCCGCTCCTGGCCAGCCGCCCTCTGCCGCTTCGCCGTCATCGTCGGCGACCCCCGCTCCTGGCCAGACTCCTTCTGCCGCATCGCCGTCACCGTCGGCGACCCCATCTCCAGTTCAGCTACCGCCGTTGCCGCCGCCGCCGCCGCCGGGCCCCGCGTTGCCCCCGCTCTAGGCTCACGCCATGCGGCAGCTTCGCCCGGGCAAGAAGGCCGAGGGTATGAAGGACAGGCGGCTGCCAGGCCGCACGAGATCGGGCATGAGGCACAGCACAGGGCTCATCTCGATGCTGGACAAGAACACTCTGGTATCGATGCTGGAGGCCCAGAGCGCGGTGGAGGAGGAGGTCAGGAAGCCGGGGGGAGCGGGGACCGGAGAGCCGGGGGGAGCGGAGACCGGAGAGCAGGGGGGAGCGCTCGCAGCCGTGGACCTGGGGGCTGGAGGAGCGGGCTTACCACTTGCATGTGCCACGCTCCTCGCCAACCGGGAAGACATCGATGCCATGCTGCGCGACCAGCGCCCGCCGGAGCAACGCCCTGATCTCCCGCACTGCCAGGCGAGCAACCTTCGCATCCCCAAGAGCTACAAGGAGGCTATGGCGTCGGAGTACCGGCACCTCTGGAGCGACGCGATGAAAAGGGAGTTTTTCGGGTTGCTGGAAGCGGGTACATTTACTCCGGCGAAGTAGCAATCAGTGCAGAACGCGATAAACGCTAAGTGGGTATTCAATTGGAAGGCAGATGAGTTTGGATGGGCCACTAAGGTCAAGGCGAGACTTGTAGCGAGAGGTGATATGCAGAGAGAGTACATTGACTTTGGAGAGTTGTACGCGCCTACCGTTTCTGTTTCGTGTGTCAGGATGTTGGCAGCGTTGGCGTGCGAGTTGAACCTCGACTTGTGTCATTTCGATATTGAGCAAGCTTTTGTGCGTTCGGAGTTGGAAGAAGACGTATACATGCGATTGCCGCAGGGATGTGGAGCTCTAGCTGGAATGATTGTAAAACTAGGCAAGAGTCTGCATGGCTTGAGACAGGCATCTAGGCAGTGGCATGCAATGCTGAAGAGGTGTTTGGTTGCGTTGGGATTTGAGCAGTGCATGGCCGATGCTTGTGTGTTTCGATTGATTGAAGGGGGGTGTGTGGTTTTGATTTTGGTAGTACATGTAGATGATATTTTTGCTGTGGGAGAGAGGGAGAGATGTGACAAGTTTGGCGCCGACCTTAACAAGTCCGTGCCGGTGAAGAACCTGGGAGAGTTGAGATGGTATTCTGGGTGCTTTTACGAGAGAAGCAAGGAGACTGGTAGGCTGACGATTTCTCAGCAGACTTTCACGGATGAGCTAGCAGCAGAGTATGGAGTCGCAGGGGGTAAGAGCGTTCCAATGTCTTCGGGGGTCAAGCTTTCTGACTTTGATGCGGATGAAGAAGCGACAGATTTTCCGTTTCGTGAGCTAGGAGGATCTTTGATGTGGCTGGCGACTCAGACTAGGCCAGACATTGCGAATGCAGTAAGGGCAGTAGCTAGATATTGCGCGTCTCCGAAGCGGGTGCACTGGGATGCAGCGATGGGTATATTAGGGTATGCGATGAGGACGAGTTACATGGGTGTTTCATTTCAGAGAGGTACGGTAGAAGGATTCAGCTTGCAGGGGTACGCTGATGCGGACTTTGCGAGCAAGGCAGCAGA